AGGACGGGTGGAGGGGTGGCTCTGTATGTCAGAGAGTCTCTTGACTCCGTGGAGCTTGAGGTCAGTAACAACAAAGCTGAGTGCCTGCGGATCGGAATCGGGGAGAAAGCCAACAAGAATGACATCTTAGTCTTTCCAGTTCCTCCCTTAGCTTTCCCCAGTTTCTCTAATATTTAGTATCTCTCCATCTTTCAACACTTAGTATCAAAATAGGCTTGTGAACTTGGGAATAGTGGAAGAAATCCTGAGATTCAGTGATACCTACAGGTACCATAGAGTCTAGTGAATGTCCCAGGCCACCCCTTGGCCAGTATTTCCCTCCATTCAATGGGCACTTACTAATGTTATTAAACTACAGTGCACTTTAGGATTAAGGTACCCTGCTATAAGGAAGCTTTCATATTATCTCCTCATAATGTATTGGGCTTTTAGTGATGCCCCAGTTTAATGAATGTCAGTCATTTTGTATGCTTTGTGTTTGGTGTCAGAGGTGACCTTTTTAGTAGTGTCAACACATAGAAGCAAGAAACAAAATTAAAGAGGGAGCAGGACATACCTGATGAAAGAGGAAATCCTTTCTTGCAGCTTTTAATATAAATAGGCCATTTGTTGAATGCTGTGTGCTGTGAGGTGAGGATGCATTTTTGACCTGTGTGTGGATTTATAACCCTCTTTTTTACAGAAGTGAATTTGATTTTTCATTATTTTCATATTTAAACATCTATCTAGTGTGTATGAGTCTGAGAAAAATTTAATGTAGAATTAAGGAGTTTAGTGAATGGTATCTTCTTTTCAATTGTGTGTTTTTAATTTTTCACAGGAGACTCCAAAGTATGGTTGGAGGGAATATTACTCTTGTGTGATGACTGTAACCAGTGAACATCTCAGAGGTCTATGGAAGCAATTTCGGAGACGAGATATGCTGAGATAAAGGAAGGAAGAAGTATTGTCTGCACTGGCTAGAACTAATGATTCCTATGAATTCTTAATTAAGAACAAACTAACCCAGGTGAATTGTGAATCTTCCAGCTGCAGGAGAGAACACAGGACTTCGTTTCCACTTAGTGTAGTGATCATCAACTCTTAAAACTGCTTTTCGGTATGTATTTTATTTAAATGACAAACTGACTTTCACCTGAGTGGCACAAGTCCTTTTCTTGAGAACACCCTTTGAATATTATGTTTAATTATTCTGAGACTGATAAGTTTGTCATTTAAAAGAAAACAAAACTAAGTTTTACATCTGCGTAGGAAAATATTTTGGCAATGAAGATAAACTGCCTGCATCAGCTTAGACTGGGAATTTGTTTTCAGAACAGCACTATTGAAAGTTTATGCTAAACTGAAAATTAGAATACATTAAGTAGCATAACAATTATACACAAGTTGAATGGACAAATTAAACTCTTTGAAGCTGTTATTTTAAAAAGAGTAAAGCTGTTATGGTTATAATGTGAATGATAGGTATTTACCTAGGAAAAGTACTGTATGAACTACAATGTTCAGATTCTCCAGGTCTTATTACTATGTTTATTAATTTATCCTTTTAAAAAATAGAAAAGATTTTAAGATGTCTTACAAACAGTATGTCGAAGAAAGGTCAAAATGTTCAAATTCATGTTAAGTAGCAAACACTTTATAGTATTTATTATAAATTTTATTGCCATGCACTGATATGTTATGGGTAGAGTAAAACTTCATGTGTTTCTTGTGAATAGTGCACTTTTATATGAAGCAGCATTGAGTAGAAATTACAGTTGTCTAATTTGCTACTCTGGAATGCAGTACCTGAAAACTACGTAAATAACTGGCATTTGTGTCAACCAAAAAAGCAAAACAAAACATGAATGCATGTAGCAGTACAAAACAACACTCACTAGTATTATTTGAATATTGCACATTAAACATCAGGCATAAATTAGGCTGCACAAAGGTTATGGAGACTACAGGCTGTCAGTAGCCACTATGACCTTTCATGGCCTCTCTACGTTTAAATGTTACTGAACAGTGGTACAGACATTGTGACATTTGTTTTTCATGTTCTCTAAATTTCTTTGCTCTTCAGTAGCAGCATTTTGCCTTACTCCCTTTCAAGATTATTTTCAAGTGGTACGAATTAAAGCCAAACAAACAAGAACAAATACTTTTATACCCTTCTGGAAAAGGTTCAGTGGACATTGAATAAGTCTCTCATCTGTTTAAGAACAATCTGTGCCTTAAAATATTTCTAGCTGAATACACACATGCTAAAACTAATCTCAATAAATTGGTGTCAGAAGGGCAAATAATCGGTAGAGTCAGACAATTAAAACAGAATAAAATAATTTTTAAAAATATCTTACTACTCCAAATACGTGAAAATAAAGTTCTCAAAATTTTACTCAGTGCACATGTTGTTCAAATACAATCTTTTATCACATGTAAATAGAAGAATAGGATCTGTGTAAATGCACCTAAGTTTAGAAATGCTTAATTTATAATCAGATTTATCTCTGATTAAAAAATCGAAACAAAATGGAAGCTTTTCTTAAGAAATTCCACACTCAGAGTTGTAGGAAAAAAATATGCTAGGTTTGTCTTTTATCTGAAAAAAAAAAGAAAAAGTTCAGAAAGCTTTGAAGGATGATAGTTTAGTTAGTATTTCATGATAAATACTTACAAAATTTCCACCTTGGTGTCCTTAAACGATTGACAGCAAGAAAAGATAAAGTAAATTGGGATAAAAGTTCTTGAAGTAACACAGCAGAACACAGATAAGCTGCAATCCCTGTGTGACCTTTTAGAGAATTGACTGTATGCAGTGCATTGTCTTGGTATGCAGAACTGTCTCACTGCTACTTGTCAGCATATGCAAAACCTAGTTTGCTACTTCAGTGATGAAGGACAAAAAAAGGGAAAAAAATAGGGAGTCATTGAAGTCATCCTTCCTTTTCATTCACTACTGCTCACTCACAGTGATCCTCCCCTTGGAGGAAGCAGCAGTACCATCATCATTTTGCTCCTCCACTGCCCTAGGCAATAGTGCACTTTGCTTTTATGGCTGGCTTGAGACAATTTTAGCATTTTTCTATATATTTCCTACCTATAGTCACTTAATATGAAATAGAATGTGAAAGTGTCAGATTAGTTTTTAAGAGTATTTTCCCTCATGTTTAATAATGTTATTTAATATAACTATGAATATATACATATAATATTCTTGTTTATTTCTAAATAAATGCACTTGAAACTAATTTTCTTTGCAGTGTATATCATTTAATTTCCTTTATCATAATCTTTTTTTTTTTTGTTATAAGTATTTTGAATTAGAGCATCTCACCATCGCAAAAATAGGTTTGTTTTCTTGTTTTGATCATCTCTTTAGATAGCTTCACTTTTCTGCCCCAGAATTCTGTATAAAAAAGCTGGAAATGCAAGAACAGACAGGTGAAAACAAGGCAGGGAAATGGCACATGCCATCTGCTTATAGAGGCACCCCTCGGACAGGCAGCAGTCACTGTGTTCAATAAAACCTTATTCAAAATCTGCCAAATTCCTGGCAGCAGAGACAATGTTTATGCTGAAACCAAATTACCTGAAAAGTTGCATAAATTAAGGCATTTTTTTAAAACCATCTCTTTTTCTCCTCCATGTGTTAAAACTCTTAATAATATAAGTGGATATTCAGATGATGCTTAGGAACTACCCATGGATGCCCAGACCAGTTGGGATAAAATGGTGACTATCAAACCTGCAGCTTTGGGTAGCTTTGTGATACTAACTCTGCCTGAGCTCTGGTGAATTCGTAGTGCCTGGCAGAATATCCTCTACAGCAAGCTGCTCCCTGCTGATCTTCTGATGTTTAAGATCATGGGGACAGTTTCCCTCCTTGCACATTTTGGCAGTAAGTCAATATAAACTATTTCCACTGCAGATTCTCATGTTGTTTGACATAGAAAGTTGCCCGTCTGAAGAAAAAGAAAGACTATTAAACAGTGACTTGCATAATTTTGGTGCTCATACTGCCTGGTTTCTATAGTTACTTGATCTCTTCCACCTAAATATCAGGATGCAGATGCATTGAAATAAAAGGGGGAAATAATGATAGAGTTTTTCACTTTGATTCAACATTGCATGATATTCTTTATGAAATGATGTGTCTTGCTCTCTTGTCCCTCTGAGTATATTTTCAAGACAGTTTCTAGCAAAAGAACTCCAGACCAATACTTGCAGAAGGAAAAGATTCAGATTAAAAGCTCATTATTCAAAACTGAATCTGAAACTAATTTGTAGCAATACCAAATCTGAAATCCCCTTAAAATGAAGCCAAAACTAAGAGAAGTATTTTCTAATATGTATGAGATCTGAATGTACAGTATTTTTCCCTGTATCTGTAAATCCATGAAAGCATTTGGCACCATGAATGTGTCAGCAGATAGTGCCCTTACACACACAGTTAAATACGTGAGGGTGTGCTTTAATCTTGAATGGGTGATATTAATTTTTACCATTAGTTTGACTTATAAATTCTTCCCAGAGAGGAACATTATTATTAGCTGGGAGCATTCCATAAAAATACTGTAGTACCCATGTGAAATTTTTTGTATTAAAATACATAACTTTTTCTATATAAACATAGAAACAGTAACATTACTCCTGGAGTTTTTAAACTCACTCTAACCCTGATGCAGAAGCTACAACATAGATTCAAAAGAGCGTGGTGCTGTAAAAATAAACTTTCAGGTATTCCAATCTCTGCAGTAAAATACTGAATCTGAAGTTAGTCACCTAGGCTTTCCAAAAAATGCATGCAGGGTATTGCTCAAGATCCAGAAATACCTCAAACTGCTTTCCATCGGCAAACTAGCCAAACTAGTTAACCAGGCAGTACTGAGCACAGAGACTTCATGAGAAGCTCCTAGGAGCTGTGCATTCTCACATGGTTTCTTTCATGGCCAGCAGCATGTGTAGGACAGTTGAGGGAGAGGGCTGAGTTAGAAAGTGACACAGCCAAAAACCACACACACACACACATATGTCCAGATGTGATTTGATGAGAACAGCTCCCTGTTACAGGAGTGCTGGGGACAGGGTGTGAGAGCAGGTAGAAATACATTGCCTGGAGCAGAGGTGAGGAGCAAGGATAGTGGCAGTAAGGATTCAGAGAGACTTGAGCTGCTGTGGTAGTTGCTATCAAATTATGTGTGTTGCCAGAGGTAGCAGAGCTTGTAAGGTGGCCCTTGCACTTGGACAAAACCCAGTACAAGGAGCAGGGACTGGAATCCAGAAGTCCCTGTTTTGGGCAGATGCCCTAAGAGGCTGCTGAAGCATGTATTCTGGTGCTGTAAACCTTGCATCCTTTCCTGGATCATTTCATCCCTGGACAATGGCCAAACCTAGATGCATGACCAAGGCACAGAGTCACTCAGGTCTGTCAAGACATTTCAGGGTATTTCAGCTGTAAAAGCGGGTTTAAATTATCCTATTAAAAAAAAAAATTAAAAGTGTGGTCAGACTGATAGTTTTATGTTCAGATGGCTAATTTTTGAGTCAGTCATTAAGCCACATGACTCCAAAGGGCAGAAAGCACTGGATTGGTGCACACAGCATGCAATAAGATTTCTTACATACAGCTCTTGAGGGGCTTTCTACTGCAGGGGGTGTGATTCTTGCCTAAGCAGAGACCTGCACAGATCTCCATTGCACAAGAACTGGTACTGGTTGGAACTGGTTTAGCTTTTTCCCATGTTTCCCACCTTAAGAGGTAAAAGGGGAAGCAGCAGGGGAATGAAAATTCCCAGATGAATGCTTCTGAGAAAAAACAATGCAATGAAAAAATTACTGCTGAAAGCCACAGAAGAGTGGGTGGATAATAAGCCCAAATAGGACTTTTAAAAACTTCCCTGAAGGCAGACTCTGACAAATATAGCATTGTATCAGTTCAGAGACAGCAATCAAGAAATTAGAGGAAGAACTTTGCTACTTGGAAGGGAGCTAAATGTGCCTGTCCTGTGAAGAACCAGGCAAATTTCCACAAAAGTTAAAAAATAAAAAAATCATAAAACAACAGTTAGGTCTGGGTATCCAAACAATTGCAAATAATGAAGTACCAACGAAGGGAGAGCAAGAGAATGAATGCATCTGGACCAGCCCTTCAATTAAAATATATTTAACAGCCAGACTGAGATAGGAGAGCATACTAAGCTGCTTGTTTTCATGTAGCTAGGAGCCACAAACTCTACACAGATGACTCCAGGTGGGATGCAACATATATTTTCTAAGTGATGTCTTATGCCAGAGACATTGCATAGAAATTTCATTTCCTACGTGTCCTAAGTGTGGTCCAACACCCAAACAATCTGGAGAGAAGCAAGCAGCATGGTCACTGTGGTGAAGGTCAGAGAGCAGCCCTGTGGAGCTGCTGGTTCACCTCATTAGTGCTGTGTGCCTGTCTGT